TGGGGACTACAAATCCCATTATCCTTCCCTCCAAAGCTTGGCAAGTCCAAACAAGGAACTTCAAGTGAGTTAGTCCCAGTGCGAGATGCTTTTCCGCATACACAAACAATGGCACAGACGCACTTTGGGAACGGAGGAAACAGGCTATGATTCATTGGAGGAAACCGGTCCCAGCTGCGAAACTCTGGTTTGGAGTCATGAGGCAACAACACCCATGTTCCGGATTCTCTCTCTTGCAAAGGCCCTTTAATAACCCGGTACATACATGACAGGTTGGCTCTCCCTTCTCCGAAACCCTTGGGAACGGAAGTGCACATTATTTTGGAATGTTTGCATCGACATCACGGGAGATCTTGGAGACGGCGCCCAAGTCAAAGCATCAATAGAGAAGGCATCCAAGTCTAAGCATGACCATCTTTGCTATTTCATACAAGAAGGTCCCCCATGACCTTCTGACAAGGAAACTAGGCCAATGTGGGCTAGGCAAAACTACGGTGAGGTGGATATGTAATTGGTTAAATGGACGAACCCAGAGGGTGCTCACCAATGCTTCCTCTTCATCTTGGAAAGAAGTGACGAGTGGAGTGCCGCAGGGTTCCGTCCTGGGCCCGGTCCTGTTCAACATCTTTATTAATGACTTAGATGAAGGTCTAGAAGGCAGGATCATCAAGTTTGCAGACGACACCAAATTGGGAGGGATAGCCAATACTCCAGAGGACAGGAGCAGGATTCAAAACGATCTTGACAGATTAGAGAGATGATTGGCCAAAACTAACAAAATGAAGTTCAACAGTGACAAATGCAAGATACTCCACTTTGGCAGGAAAAACAAAATGCAAAGATACAGAATGGGGGACGCCTGGCTCGAGAGCAGTACGTGTGAAAAAGATCTTGGAGTCCTCGTGGACAACAAGTTAAACATGAGCCAACAATGTGATGTGGCGGCAAAAAAAGCCAATGGGATTTTGGCCTGGATCAATAGGAGCATAGTGTCTAGATCTAAGGAAGTAATGCTACCCCTCTATTCTGCTTTGGTTAGACCACATCTGGAATATTGTGTCCAATTCTGGGCACCACAATTCAAGAGAGATATTGACAAGCTGGAATGTGTCCAGAGGAGCGACTAAAATGATCAAGGGTCTGGAGAACAAGCCCTATGAGGAGCGGCTTAAGGAGCTGGGCATGTTTAGCCTGAAGAAGAGAAGGCTGAGAGGAGATATGATAGCCATGTATAAATATGTGAGAGGAAGCCACAGGGAGGAGGAGGGAGCAAGCTTCCTTTCTGCTTCCCTGGAGACGAGGACGCAATGGAACAATGGCTTCAAACTACAAGAGAGGAGATTCCACCTGAACATGAGGAAGAACTTCCTGACTGTGAGAGCCGTTCAGCAGTGGAACTCTCTGCCCCGGAGTGTTTGAAAGTGTTTTCCTGTTTTACTCTGCTATATACCTGCGAAACGTGGACTGTCTACAGAAGTCAAACTCAACTCCTGGAACAATTGTTTGAGAGTGTTTGAGGCCCAGGACATCCATAGGGAGACCAAGGGGCTTATTGATAAAGTTATTGTCCACACAACCCTGCTATACGCCTGTGAAACTTGGACTGTCTACAGAAGTCAAACTCAACTCCTGGAACAATTCCATCAGCGCTGCCTCAGAATGGGCAGGACCTCCAAGACATAAGTATTATTTCCTGTTTGACTCTTCTATATACCTGCGAAACGTGGACTGTCTACAGAAGTCACACTCAACTCCTGGAACAATTCCATCACAATGGGCAGGACCTCCAAGACGTAACAAGAGTGTTTGAGGACCAGGACATCCGTAGGGAGACCAAGGGGCTTGTTGATAAAGTTATTGCCCTCACAACCCTGCTATACGCCTGTGAAAAGTGGACTGTCTACAGAAGTTAAACTCCGGGAACAATTCCATCAGCGCTGCCTCAGAATGGGCAGGACCTCCAAGACGTAAGTATTATTTCCTGTTTGACTCTTCTATATACCTGCGAAACGTGGACTGTCTACAGAAGTCAAACTCAACTCCTGGAACAATTCCATCAGCGCTGCCTCAGAATGGTCAGGACCTCCAAGATGTAACGAGAGTGTTTGAGGACCGGGACATCCGTAGGGAGACCAAGAGGCTTGTTGATAAAGTTATTGTCCACACAACCCTGCTATATGCCTGTGAAACGTGGACTGTCTACAGAAGTCACACTGAACTCCTGGAACAATTCCATCAGTGCTGCCTCAGATTGGGCAGGACCTCCAAGACGTAACGAGAGTGTTTGAGGACCGGGACATCCATAGGGAGACCAAGGGGCTTGTTGATAAAGCTATTGTCCTCCCAACTCTGCTCTACGCCTGCGAAACTTGGACTGTCTACAGAAGTCACACTCAACTCCTGCAATGATTCCATCAGCATTGCCTCCAGAATGGGTCGGAATTTGGGAAATGAATGCAAACACTGCTTTGAATACATTATTTTTTGCAGTGTAATAAATTTTTTCCATGTTTTTATGATAGAAACAATTAGGAAATGACATGTATAACCCAGAAACATAAACTGTGTTACAACAACAACAACAACAACAACAACAACAGTAATTAACCACTTGAAAGCAAAGTTGTCACTGTATCAGCCACACAGATGGAGAACTTTTCAGCATGTATGTTTTGTCGTTGTATTTCAACTATGTTGTACTCTGCTTTGAACACTATTATTATTATTATTATTATTATTATTATTATTATTATTATTATTTGACATAGTTTTGTCAGCTCCATACCAGGCATAAATCCAACATTTCTTTCCCTTTTTTTGCAATAAGCAAAATATAAATGCTTTTTTGAAACAACAACAACAACGACAGTCTTTGCCTGTTGCTGAATTCTCCCTATTGTCAACATTCATATACAATACCCAAGACGGAAGACTTGCCTTCACCTTTGGGAACCCCTTCCAACTATAATGTATTATGGGCTACCTTTGGAGGGTGATACAGATTTTTTTTAAACAGAAGCTGGATGGCCATCTGTCTGTAGTGCTTTGATTGCATCTTCGTGCTTGACAGAAGGGGGTTGGATTGGATGACCTTTGGTGACTCTTTCCAACTATAAGGTATTATGGACTGCCTATGGAGGTTGATAAGAGATTTTTTTTAAACAGAAGCTGGATGGCCATCTGTTGGGAGTGCTTTGATTGTGGACTTCCTGCTTGGCAGAAGGGAGTTGGATTAGATGACCTTTGGTGACCTTTTCCAACTATAATGTATTATAGACTATCTTTGGAGGGTGATAGAGTTTTTGAAAAACAGAACATAGATGGTCATCTTTCAGGAGTGCTTTGATTGTGCCCTTCCTGCTTGGCACAAGGGGGTTGGATTAGATGACCTTTGGGGATCCCTTCCAACTAGAATGTATTATGGACAGCCTTTGGAGGGTAATAGAGATTATTTAAAAACAGAACATAGATGGCCATCTGTTGGGAGTGCTTTGATTGTATCTTCCTGCTTGGCAGAAGGGGGTTGGATTAGATGACCTTTGGTGACCCTTCCAATTCTAAGATTCTATGATATACATACATCTTTCTCAATTAGATCTATTTATCTTTGGACATTTATCTACATCTGGAAGGCTATCTGTTGGGAGGGTTTAGATGGTGCCTGGCAAAAGGGGGTTGAGCTAGATAGCCCTTGGAGTCCCTCCCAATTGTATGTTTCCGTGACCCATATTTTTAGTCTCCGGAGAGGGAATTTCCGAGGAAACACAAACAGCGGCTTATCTCCAAAACGCCTTGACATTCTCTGCACGTATTGTTTAAGGAAAGCCATTATTTTGTCTGTCTTTAGCCAAGAATGCAACTTTTCCAGATCAGGGACACAAAAGTCAGATGCACGGCGATAAAGAGGTTTCGCTCGTCCAAGACGTAACAAGTTCTGATGAACTTCCAAATGGACCTCCAAGACGCAACGAGTTTTGATGGTCTTCCAAATGGAACTCCAAGATGCAACGAGTTTTGATAGTCGTCCAAATGGACCTCCAAGATGCAGCGGGTTTTGAGGGTCTTCCAAATGGACCTCCAAAATGCAACAAGTTTTGATGGTCTTCCAAATGGACCTTCAAGATGCAATGGGTTTTGAAGGTGTTCCAAATGGACCTTCAAGATGCAACAGGTTTTGATGGTCTTCCAAATGGACCTTCAAGATGCAACGGGTTTTGATGGTCTACCAAATGGACCTCCAAGAAGCAACAAGTTCTGATGGTCTTCCAAATGGACCTCCAAGATGCAACGGGTTTTGAAGGTCTTTCAAATGGACCTCCAAGACGCAACGAGTTTTGATGGACTTCCAAATGGACCTCCAAGATGCACAGGGTTTTGATAGTCTTCCAAATGGACCTTCAAGATGCAACGAGTTTTGATGGTCTTCCAAATGGACCTTCAAGACGCAACAAGTTTTGATGGTCTTCCAAATGGACCTCCAAGATGCAACGGGTTTTGATAGTCTTCCAAATGGACCTCCAAGACACAATGAATTTTGATGGTCTTCCAAATGGACCTCCAAAATGCAACGAGTTCTGATGGACTTCCAAATGGCCCTCCCAAGACGCAACCAGTTTTGATGGTCTTCCAAATGGACCTTCAAGATGCAATGGGTTTGCATCAATCTGGGGCCTTCTGGGGGGTTTGTACTACAACTCCCACAATCCCTAAAGCCTTTGTGGATCAGTAGCTGGGACAGGATGACCTGCATCCCTGAAGTCTTTGGAATGGCCCCAAAAATATAAAGCAAAATTGGCCTTCTTGGAGACAACTTCAGCTTGTTTTGACACTCCATTCGAATCCAGTTTTTAATGCTGTCTCCTTCTGGTTCAAGTCCCAAATGAAGCCTAGCAATGGACCATGCGTTGCAATAAGGTGGCCATGCTCGTGATCATGAAGAAGCTACGTCCTGGATCCCATTGGCAGAGAAAGAAAAGAGAGCCAGACATCTCCTTCCCCCCAAGTCCTTTTGGACAGATGAGCCAGGAGTTTGGAGGTCTGGAAGTATGGTCCATGTCACCTCCTGATCTCCGAATAAAGGGATTCGGATCTCCGCAGCAACTCCTAAAAGAGAGGAGAGGATATTAGAAGAGACAGGGATCAAGGGGATTGAGCAGGGACAACTGGGACCCCCAAATGCATCCACTGCCCAGTCTTCTCCCACGTCCTTCCAAAAGATGTTATCTCCTCTGTTATGGGTCAAGGGTTAAGACTTGATGATCTTTGAGGTCCCCATTTTAAAGAGGCTGTAGTCAAGGATCATATAAATACCCTGGGCATAAAGAGAGAGGGAAAGAAGGAGGGAAGGTGGGAGGGAAGGAAGGAAGGAAGGAAAACAGAGAAAAGAGGAAGGAAGGAAGGAAGGAAGGAAGGAAGGAAGGAAGGAAGGAAGGAAGGAAGGAAAGAAGGAAGTAAAGAAGGAAGGAAGGAAAGAAGGAAGAGGGAAGAAGGGAAGGAAGGAAGAAAAGAGAAAAGAGGAAGGAAGGAAAGGAAGGAAGGAAGGAAGAAGAGAGGAGGGAGGGAGGGAAGGAAGGAGGAAAGGGAGGAGGGAAGGAAAAGGGGAAGAGAGAGAGAAAGAAAGAAGGGAAGGGAGGAAGGGAAGGGAAGGGAAAGGAAGGGAAGGGAAGGGAAGGGAAGGGGAGGGAAGGGAAGGGAAGGGAAGGGAAGGGAAGGGAAGGAAGAAAGGAAGGAAGGAGGGAGGGGGAGGGAGAGAAGAAGGAAGGAAGGAGGAAAGAAGGGAGGAAGGAAGGAAGGAAGGAAGAAAGGAAGGAAGGAAGGAAGGAAGGAAGGAAGGAAGGAAGGAAGGAAGGAAAGGGAGGGAGGGAGGGAGGGAGGGAGGGAGGGAAGGAGGGAGGGAGGGAGGGAGGGAAGGAAGGAAGGAAGGAAGGAAGGGAGGGAGGGAGGGAGGGAGGGAGGGAGGGAAGGAAGGAAGGAAGGAAGGAAGGAAGGAAGGAAGGAAGGAAGGAAGGAGGAAGGAAGGAAATAAGAGGGAAGGAGAGAAGGAAGGAAAGAGGGAAGAAAGGAAGGAAGGGAAGGGAAGGGAGGGAAGGGAAGGGAAGGGAGGAAAGAAGGAAGGAAGGAAGGAAGGGAGAGAGAGGAGAGGAGGGAGGGAGGGAGGAAGGAAAAAGAGAGGGAGAGGGAGGGAAGAAGGAAAGAAAGAAAAAAAGAAAGAAAGAAAGAAAGAAAGAGAGGGAGAGAGAGAAAGAGAAAGAGAAGAAGAAAGAAAGAAAGAAAGAAAGAAAGAAAGAGAAAGAAAGAGAAGGAAAGAAAGAAAGAAAGAAAGAAAGAAAGAGGAGGAGGGAGGGAGGGAGGAAAGAAAGGGGAAGGAGAGAAGGAAGGAAGAGAGAAGGAAGGGAAGGGAAGAAGAAAGGAGAAGGAAAGAGAGGGAGAAGAGAGAAGGAAGAAAGAAAGAAAGAAAGAAAGAAAAGAAAAGAAAGAAAAGAAAGAAAGAAAGAAAGAAAGAAAGAAGAAAGAAAGAGGAAGGAAGAAAGAAAGAAAGAAAGAAAGAAAGAAAGAAAGAAAGAAAGAAAGAAAGAAAGAAAGAAAGAAAGAAAGAAAGACGGACGGACGGACGGAGGGAGGGAGGGAGGGAGGGAGGAGGGAGGGAGGGAGGGAAGGGAGGGGGAGGGGAGGGAGGGAGGGAGGAGAAAAGAGAGAGGGAAAGAGGGAGAGGGAGGGAGGAGGAGGAGAAGGGAGGGAGAAGAAAGAAAGAGAAGGGGGAAGGGGAGTGGGGAGGGGAGGGGAGGGAGGAGTGTAGCCAGGACCTACCATATAGTTTGACTCCAGGTTGGGGCAGGTTTCTGGCAAGGGCTGGAAGAGAGAGATAAAAGTTACTCAACTGTGATAAATTACTTACTTTTTACTTACTTAAATAAATAAATAAAGGGTTTGGGAAAGTATGGAATGAAAGTATTCTATTTTTGCCCTTTGTGGGGGTCCAATGCCCCAGTGTCCACTTGCTTCCTCCCATGCTTCCCAGCCCAGGATGTAGACCAGAGGTGTAGCTATGCTGCCAAATGAATGCATTTTGGCACCGCTTGAATCACCATGGCAACAAGGGATGGGATACTGGGAGCTGCAGTTTTGCACCCAAAGGCCTTGCAAGACGGCAAGCTCCCAATATGCCACAGCGTGAACGTGGCGGTGAGAGTGGTGCCAAAGTGCATGAGTTGTCCAGTGCAGAAGCACCCGGAGGAATCCAGGACAGGGCCGGGCGCCTCTCTCTCTCTCTCTCTCTCTCTTCCTCCCACAATGTTCCCAAACCCAGATCCAGGCCAAGAGCGAGAACAGGTTCTTTTGGGCGGAGGGCGCTTCGACTCACAGGGAGCGGTCCTGGCAGTGGGGGCGGCTCCTTGCCCTCCGTCTTGGGCGACTTCACCGGGGAATCCATCACTTCGTAAATGGGCTCCTTGTCATCTGGAACACAAACACAGCCAAGCTTTCACCCAGTTGGCATGACACTGGGCGCATCTGCCAACTGACTGTACTTTCACTGCTATGGCTTCACTGCTATGGCTCAATGCTATCCTGGGAGTTGCAGTTTCACTAAGGCGCATCTGCAATGAATGCACTTCCATATATACACGTATACACAATTTATTATTTATTTGCTTTATTTCTATACCGCATTTTTCAGCCCGATTAGGCAACTCAATATATACACACACAAAGCATATATACACAGACTGGGCCACAGCAACACGTGGCAGGGGATGGCATATATATATATATATATATAGCAAAGTGATACCTTGAATCCTATGGAAATCTATCAAGCCTCATTCCATTTGAAAGTCTATTTGCAGTTATCATTATCATTATTATTATTTGTGACACTACAAGATGAGTCCACAGCAGACACTCTGCTGGCTGTTGAATTGGATCACACGTCGGACACAAGTGTCTAGGGCTGTGTGATGTATCGGTGAACAATGCATGCAGATCCCAGTAAGGTGTCCTTTTGCAGCTGGCAGGTGGTAATCTTGTCATCATTGATTGTATTTAAGTGCAGGCCAATGTCTTAGGCACTGCACCCAGTGTGCCGATCACCACTGGGACCACCTTGACTGGCTTGTGCCAGAGTCTTTGCATTTCAATCTTTAAATCCTCATATCGTGTCAGCTTTTCCAGTTGTTTCTCTTCAATCCTGCTGTCACCTGGGATTGCAACATCAACGATCCATACTTGGTTCTTTCCCATGATTGTGAGGTCAGGCGTCTTGTGCTCCAAAACTCTGTCTGTCTGAATCCGGAAGTCCTAGAAGAGTTTGCCGTGTTCATTTTCTGTAACTTTTTTCCGGCTTGTGATCCCACCAGTTCTTTGTGGCAGGCAGATGGTGTTTGTGGCACAAGTTCCAATGAATCATCTGAGCAAGGGTGTTGTGCCTCTGCTTGGAGTCTGTCTGCGCGATCTTCTTGCAGCAGCTGAGGATGGCATCTCTTGTTTCATCTGCTTCCTTGCAGAGTCTACACTTGGGAACTGTCGCTGACTTTTCAATTCTGGCTTGGATGGCCTTGGTTTTAATGTCTTGTTCTTGGGCTGCCAGAATCAGGCCCTCCTTTGTCTCCTTTTTCAAAGTTCCTTTTGGGAGCTACAGCCATGTTTTCTCTTTGTCAATTTGGCTCTCAACGTTTTCCAGGAAGTGCCCATGGAGAGCCTTCTTCTTTCACCAGTTTTCTCTTCTGCTCTGCATCATGTTTTTACGGCATTCCCTCTGTCTTTTGCACTTTAAGCAGTTTTCTCCTCTTGACTTCCCTCCATGTTGGTTCTTGACTGCCTTTCCCATCATCTGCCAGTCCGTGTTTCTCTTCTTCTTCTACCATTTGTTTCCCTTGCAGAAGCCCTCTTCTCTCTTCCTCCTGATTTTCTGGGCTGGTCAAGTCTGTCGACATCATTACACGGGTGTCACAAGGAGTGGATGGTCATCAGTTGTCTTGTTTTTCTGTCCTATTATTATTATTATTATTATTATTATTATTATTATTATTATTTGCCTGCCTCTCCTTGCAGCTCGAGCAAGGCACAACATATCATAAAACATTATGTAAAATGCATATATTAAATGCATATATGAAACAGATACATTAAAATACAGTAAATACTGGACATTGTTGCTTCTAAGGTATGTAGAGATTTAGAGAGATGGGCCAAAACTAACAAAATGAAGTTCAACAGTGACAAATGCAAGATACTCCACTTTGGCAGGAAAAACGAAATGCAAAGATACAGAATGGGGGATGCCTGGCTCGAGAGCAGTACGTGTGAAAAAGATCTTGGAGTCCTCGTGGACAACAAGTTAAACATGAGCCAGGAATGTGATGTGGCGGCAAAAAAAGCCAATGGGATTTTGGCCTGCATCAATAGGAGCAGAGTGTCTAGATCTAGGGAAGTAATGCTACCCCTCTATTCTGTTTTGGTTAGACCACATCTGGAATATTGTGTCCAGTTCTGGGCACCACAATTCAAGAGAGATATTGACAAACTGGAATGTGTCCAGAGGAGAGCGACTAAAATGATAAAAGGTCTGGAGAACAAGCCCTATGAGGAGCGGCTTAAGGAGCTGGGCATGTTTAGCCTGAAGAAGAGAAGGCTGAGAGGGATATGATAGCCATGTATAAATATGTGAGAGGAAGCCACAGGGAGGAGGGAGCAAGCTTATTTTCTGCTTCCCTGGAGACTAGGACGCGGAACAATGGCTTCAAACTACAAGAGAGGAGATTCCATCTGAACATGAGGAAGAACTTCCTGACTGTGAGAGCCGTTCAGCAGTGGAACTCTCTGCCCCGGAGTGTGGTGGAGGCTCCTTCTTTGGAAGCTTTTAAACAGAGGCTGGATGGCCATCTGTAAGGGGTGATTTGAATGCAATATTCCTGCTTCTTGGCAGGGGGTTGGACTGGATGGCCCATGAGGTCTCTTCCAACTCTTTGATTCTATGATTCTATGATTCTATGTATGTATGTATGGTTGTGTGTGTGTGGGTGGGCCTGAAATTGCAGAAAATTCTGCAACTGTTGATCCTGTAATATGAACAAATTGCAGCCTTTTCTGCCTTGCAAAACAGGATGGAAACACTCACCGTGTTTTGGTGACAGCGATTTCCTCCCTCTGGGATCCAGCCTGAAAGGAGATTTGCATAGGTGAAAGGGGGGAAAACCCATGCTATACAGATTGATATAGCGATTGCAGGACGCTAACAATGCTTTGGTGCAATGTTGTATTACAGATTGTTATATCATACTTTGTTATATCATACTCCCCAACTTTCTCCGTTTGGCAGAGAGGGACAGTCCCAGTTAACCCTATGACCCTTCTTGGAAGGAATGGAAACCATCTGAGATTGGAAGGAGAAGATGTCTAGGGTTGGTTCTAAGGCTGGTGACATAATACAGTTTGAACTGCATTGAACTCCTGGCCCTATAATGAAGTTCAGTTCCATCTTCATTGCCATGATACTTCATCTTGTTGACGGGAAACTTCCCACCAGAGTGGAAATCATCTATCAGACAGATGGCAAGCTATTGAACCCAGAGGCGGCCCTAGGTAATTTTCAACGGTAAGCAAACAGTATTTTGCCCCCCCCCCCCCCAACCAATCACTGATATATATTTTCTGTTTGTCGTGGGAGTTCTGTGTGCCATATTTGGTTCAATTCCATCATTGGTGGAGTTCAGAATGCTCTTTGATTGTAGGTGAACTATACATCCCAGTAACTACACTTGCAGCACTTGCTCCCTTGCCTGGCCCGCTTTGGGTCCGGAGGCGTGCCTGAAGACCCCAGCGTGTGCACCAAAAGTCACCTCTTCTCCTGACTTTCTCCTCAGCCATTGGGACCAAGAGAGAGAGAGAGAGACAGAGGTGGAGATGCCCACCTTTCCTGAAGGTAGGCGCAAAAACAAAGGAGGGAGCGGAGGTGGGAGATACCTCCAGCAGGAGGGGCTCTCTCTCTCTCTCTCTTGGTCCCAATGGCTGAAGAGAAAGTCAGGAGAAGAGGCGACTTTTGGTGCGCACGCTGGGGTCTTCAGACACGCCTCCGGACCCGAAGCGGGCCAGGCGTGGCAGCTCCGCCCCTTGGCCCACCCGCGGATTGGGGAGAGGAGAGGAGGCGGGTGGAGCGTCGGGGGATCGGGAAAGGGAGCCGGTCATGGGGAAGGGATCGAACGCGGAGAACGATTGAGCGCCGGCTCTGCTCGCGCACCCGGTGGCCGGGTGGAGCAGGAACGAGAGGGGCTAGGCGAGGCTCAAGGGCCCGGCCCCTTTGGGAAGAGGATCGCCCGGCAGTGAGGCAAGAAAGCCGAGGCTCCCCCTGGACTGCCAGGGCTGTTGTGAGCTGAGGGGACGCTCCTCAAGTGGCGGTCGAGGGGCTTTTACAGAGGCGCATCTGCGCCCCTGGCAAAAAAAAGTGTTCTGCGACCGCTTACTTCGCATAATGGACGAGCCGCCTCTGATTGAACCTCAGCAGACTGAAAGCCAAAACCAAGGTCACAACAACATCTGTTATAGAACTCCAGTATGCTGATGATAATGTCATCTGTGCGCATTCAGAAGAAGGCCTACAAGCCACTCTAAACACCATCGCAGAAGCATATGAGAAGCTCAGCCTGTCATTGAACATCAAGAAAACCAAAGTGCTCTTCCAGCAGTCACCAGCCAATCCCTTTGTAATGCCAGAAATAATAATAATAATAATAATAATAATAATAATAATAATATTTATACCCTGCCACACTCTCCCCAACAGGGCCTTAGGGTTGCTTACATGAGACCAAGCCCAACAGGATAATACAATAAAATAAAAACCAAAGCACAAAACAACAACACAGTAAATTAGTTTGAGTTGAGTTTTATTTTAACTGTTTTGTATTGATTATTGTTATTGCTTTTGTTTATTGATGTGCTGTGGGGTTGGCCTCATGTAAGCCACACCAAGTCCCTTGGGGAGATGGTGGCGGGGTACAAATAAAGTTATTATTATTATTATTATTATTATTATTATTATTATTATTATTATTACATAAAGCATAAAAGTACAGTAAGCAATGTAAAAATACAATGCAAAAACATTCCCAATCACAATCACAATGAGCGGGCCGCATGTGCAAGATAAAATACTAAAAACTCAGAGTGAGATAGGAATACAGCTTAATGGTGTAATATTAGAAAATGTTGACCATTTCTGCTCCTTTGGCAGCCACCGTTCCACAAAAGCCAACATTGACACTGAAATGCAACACCACCTGAGCTCTGAGAGTGCAGCATTCTCCCGAATGAAACAGAGAGTGTTTGAGGGCTGGGACATCCGTAGGGATACCAAGGGGCTTGTTTATAAAGCCATTCCCCTCCCAACCCTGCTATATGCCTGCGAGACGTGGACTGTCTACAGACATCAACATTGAGATGGAAATACAGCACCGCCAGAGCTCTGTGAGTGCAGCATTCTTCCAAATGAAGCAGAGAGTGTTCGAGGACATCCGTAGGGAGACCAAGGGCCTTGTTGATAAAGCCATTCTCCTCCCAACCCTGATATACACCTGTGAAACGTGGACTGTCTACAGACATCATACGCAACTCCTGGAACGATTCCATTAGTGCTGCCTTCAAAACATCCTGCAAATCTGTTGGGAAGACAGGCGAGGAAACGTCAGCGTGCTGGAAGAAGCAAAGACCACCAGCACTGAAGCGATGGTCCTCCATCATCAACTCCGCTGAACCGGCCACGTTGTCTGGATGCCTGACCACAGTTTCCCAAAGCAGTTGCTCTACTCCGAACTCAAGAACGGAAAACGGAATGTTGGTGGGCAGGAAAAGAGATTGAAAGATGGGCTCAAACTTTGGCATAGATAATAAGAACTGGGAAACCCTGGCCCTTGAGCGCTCCAGCTGGAGGTCAGCTGTGACCAGCAGTGCTGCAGAATTTGAAGAGGCATGAATGGGGGGCGAAAGAGAGAAATGTGCCAAGAGGAAGGTGCATCAAGCCAACCCTGTCCGGGACCGCTTTCCACCTGGAAACCAATGCCCTCACTGCGGGAGAACATGCGGATCAAGAATATGGCTCCACGGTCACCTACGGACCCACCACCAGAATACCACTCTTGGAGGACCATCATCCTCAGACTACGAGGGATCACCTAAGTAAGTTAAGTAAGTAAGTAATAAAGTTGAATGCAGTTCAAACAGCATTGTTTAGTTCTGCACTGGCTATACAATGGAGTTCAAGCAGCATTTTAGGATAATTGTAGAACCAACTTAGAATAAGAAATTATTGAAATGACAATACTATTGATGATATAATGCAGTTAGAACTGCATTGAATTACATTATATGGTTCTACACTGACCCTATAATGAAGTTCAAATGGGGAGAAAGTTGGGATATAAATAAATATAGCAATAACAACAACAACAACAACAACAACAACAAGCAGTTCAGTGCAGTTCAAATGGCATTAAATAGTTCTACACTAACCATATAATGAAGTTCAAACCACATGACATTAGTGTAGAACCAACTTAGGATAAGAAGTTAGTGAGATGACAATACTACTTCCATCTTATGCCTTTAAGTTCGCAGATAAGAAGTCCATTTTAACTTTATTATTTTGAAGTTCATTTTACTGGGTGTATCTACAACAATATATGTCCTATATTGGAAAGTGGACAACGACAAATCGGACAACGACACTGTTGCACTCTAGGCCAGGAACACCTTTCTACCCAGAACTACACAGAGGCACATGCAGGGCATGCATACTCAGCAGCAGAGTAGCACAGCGCAAGGGCAGATGTCTTCACTGTGTCTGGTTGTGATCCCCAGGTTGTGCCAGTCAGCTTTCGAATGATATTGTTTCTAGCACCCACTTTTTGCTTGATGTTCAGGCAGTGCTTCTTGTAGGTCAGAGCACGGTCCAGAGTGATTCCCAGGTAGTATAGCTAACTACAGGAGTTTATTTACAAAAGCATATACAAAGAGAAAATGGGCATTTCCCAAAAAGCAGTGGAAAAGGGGCTAAAAAAGAGCAATAGTCCAAATATCCATAGATCAATAGTCCAAGATGGCAAGGTACGTGAAATCCATGAAGCATAGGAATAAAGCCATAAGCATAAAAACAGGAACTTTTTCCAAGACAAAACTCATTCAGGAACAAAGGCAAACTTGAGAGCTGAACGTGAACTTGATTTTAAGGCGACGTTGTCTGCTCTGAAGAGGCCAGGAAAACACCACTTAATTTAAGCTCAAACCCGACCAAACAGTCATGAGATCTGGGTTGTGGTAGGTTTTTTCGGGCTATATGGCCATGTTCTAGAGGCATTCTCTCCTGACGTTTCGCCTGCATCTACCTCTGAGGATGCTTGCCATAGATGCAGGTGAAACCTCAGGAGATAATGCCTCTAGAGCAGTGGTTCTCAACCTTCCTAATGCCACGACCCCCGTGATACAGTTCTTCATGTTGTGGTGACCCCCAACCATAAAATTAGTTTCATTGCTACTTCATAACTGTCATTTTGCTGCTGTTATGAATAGTAATGTAAATATCTGATATGCAGGATGTATTTTCATACACTGGACCAAATTTGGCACAAATACCCAATACACCCAAATTTGAATACTGGTGGGATTGGGGGAGGGTATTGATTTTGTCCTTTGGGAGTTGTAGTTGCTGGGATTTATAGTTCACCTACAATCAAAGAGCATTCTGAACTCCACCAACGATGGAATTGAACAAACTTGGCACACAGAACTCCCATGACCAACAGAAAATACTGGAAGGGTTTGGTGGGCATTGAGTTTTGGAGTTGTACTTCACCTACATCAAGTGGGAACTGTGGACTGAAACAATGATGGACCTGGACCAAACTTGGCACGAATTCTCGATATGCCCAAATGTGAACACAAGTGGAGTTTGGGGAAAATAGACCTTGACATTTGGGAGTTGTAGTTGCTGGGATTTATAGTTCACCTACAATCAAAGAGCATTCTGAACCCTACCAACGATTGAATTGGGCCAAACTTCCCACACAGAACCTCCATGACCAACAGAAAATACTGTGTTTTCTGGTGGTCTTTGGTGACCCCTCTGACACCCCTCGCAACCCCTCCAGGGGTTCCCAACCCCCAGGTTGAGAAACACTGCTCTATGGTTTCATTGCCATGAGTTAGATCTGACATGAAGGTATCTGGAACCAGTAAAAATTTCTATTAACCTCTCCTTTGCTCTCTTCAAGCAGAGACCTAAGCTTATATCCCGGGGCAATTCCCCATTTTTTGAAGGCTGAGAAGGCCAAGAAGATCGATTCTTAAGAGAAACAAAATCCCAAACATTCTCCATCTCTTCTCCAGCTGCCAGCCCTTCTCTCTGATCTACAGCATGCATTTCTGTCTGTGTTTCAGCCTGAACACACACAGACACAGTGAAAAACCCATCATCCCCTTCATCCTCTGAGGCAGAATCCCCACTTCTTGCTGCTGAGCCCCAACGGATACATACATTGCTGAAAAAAGTTAATAAATATATCCATGTTTAAAATTCCATTTCTTGGCTACTTTCCCGTTTCCTTCTTCCTCCTTTGTCCTCAGCTCGCTTCAGTTCCTGCAAACTGAGTTCAAAGGGAGGAAAGTAGGCAAATCTTGCCCTTCCCAGTGGATAAAGACAAAAGCAAACTGTTGCAATTTTTCCTAACTTGGGTTTTCGCTCTTTTCCAATGTAGCCCAAATGGGGCAATGGGTTAAACCCTTGTTTCGGCAGGATTGAAGACCGACAGGTCGGTGGTTCAGATCTGGGGAGCAGGGTGAGCTCCCACCTGTCAGCTCCAGCTTCCCATACGGGGACATGAGAGAAGCCTCCCATAAGATGGTAAAACATCTGGGCATCCTTGCAGACGGCCAATTGTCTCTGTGCTGGTACGGCTGTACCAGGAGCTCCAACTTTATTTTCTTTCTGTTATCTGTTTTGCAGTCATAGGGCAGGCCTCCTGTCCATCATAATTAAGCTTTGGTTCCGCCCCTTGTTCAGGGCTCTGGGAGGGAAAGGAGCCATTTTTTGGGCAGTCTCACACAAGGTAGCTAAGCTATAGGATGTAGACCAGCTCGTCCTGTAGAAAAGCTTCCTTTTTCAATAACCATCCAGGGAAAAAGTAGCATCCAGGGAAACAGAGCATCCAGGGAAAAGGTCCCAAGGCTCTGGCTGAGAGCTCACAGCCTCTCAGCCTCACAGCAAACAGAGGGAAAACAGCCCTGAAGTTTCAAAGAATTCTCTGAGGGAGGACAGCATTACAGATCCACGGAACTCCAGCTGAAATATCTTCAAGCCTCGGCTGGTAGGTCTACTCGATACCCAGAAGCATTTGGAATCGGTAGTAGGTCCCACACCGATGAGGCATAGATAGAAAGCAGCCTGGGAGAGGTTAAAAAGGGTTTTTTCTACAGAGAAAGTTTAGTTAATCAAAGTCAGGTGCCAGTCCATTGAGGACTAAACTAAGAAAGCCTTCAAGTGTTGTTTGAAACATTGAAGATTTATTGTTTGTTCCGTAATAAAGACTTTGTTGTATCATTAAAGACTCTAAAGACCATCACTTCAGGAAAATCCCTGAGAACCTCTCTTTGAGGCTCCCTGGCTTCCCGCTGGGCTTAAAGTAAACGTCCTATAGAAAAGTACAGCTGTTACAGGCCCAGCACGCGACAGAACAGTCTCACACCAGAAATGACTTGCAGTTTCTCAAGTTGCTACTGACATGGGGAAAAAAATCCTTTTCCATTACACTATGTAACAAAACTTAAAATAAACATTCTGTCCCTGGTTTGCAAGTATTATTTCCTATTTAATTGTGCTGTTCTTACTTCGAAAATAGTTGCCCTACTCCAGAAACTTTGTTTTTTTGTGCCACAAACTAGGTTGAATTGGTTGAGACTTATAAGATACTCACTGAAAAACTAGAGCAAAATGGGCTGTTGCAGGATTCCCATCAAAACAACGTTTCAGCAGCTTAATAAACTTTTCCAATTGGAACCAATCAGGAGATGACATTGATAACCCAAGAACAAAAATGGTGTTACATACTGTAATAATAGTAAACATTGCAAACTTGAAAGCAAAGATGTCACTCTGTCAGCCACACAGATGGAGAACTTTTCAGTATTTATGTTTTGTTGACGTATTTCAACTATGTTACATCGTGTTATCACGCCATCTTTATATTTACTAGAACTCAACGGCCTCTACCAATTAGAGAGTTTCATCTATGCTGATGATCGTGCCATCACTGCTCAAGCAGGGAGCTTTGAGATGGTAGAACAGAAGCTTTCCGAAGCTCTAGGTGCTCTTACTGCCTATTACAGGGAAAACCAGCTGATCCCCAACCCATCTAAAACACAGACATGTGCCTTTCATCTCAAGAACAGACAAGCATCCCGAGCTCTGAGGATTATTACCTGGGAAGGAATCCCACGGGAGCATTGCAGCGCACCCAAATCCCCGGGAGTCACTCTGGACCGTGCTCTGACCTACAAGAAGCACTGCCTGAACATCAAGCAAAAAGTGGGTGCTAGAAACAACATCATACAAAAGCTGACTGGCACAACCTGGGGATCACAACCAGACACAGTGAAGACATCTGCCCTTGCGCTGTGCTACTCTCCTGCTGAGTACGCATGCCCAGTGTGGAACACATCTCACCACGCTAAAACAGTGGATGTGGCTCTTAATGAGACATGCCGCATTATCACGGGGTGTCTGCGCCCTACACCACTGGAGAAATTACACTGCTTAGCCGGTATTGCACCACCTGACATCCGCCGGGAAGTGGCAGCTAATAGTGAAAGGACCAAGGCAGAGACATCTCCAGCTCATCCCCTGTTTGGGTATCAGCCAGCACGTCAATGACTGAAATCCAGACATAGTTTTCTAAGATCTACAGAGACACTTGCCAGAACACCTCAGCAAGCGAGAGTCCAAAAGTGGCAGGCTGTTACATACTGTAATAATAGTAAACATTGAAAACTTTCAAGCAAAGATGTCCCTCTGTCAGCCACACAGATGGAGAACTTTTCAGTATTTATGTTTTGTTGATGTATTTCAACTATGTTACATCGTGTTATCACGCCATCTTTATATTTACTAGAACTCAACGGCCTCTACCAATTAGAGAGTTTCATCTATGCTGCTTGGATTATGAGAAGGCAGGGAGGCCATATTAGCCTTCCAAATGTTCTTACATTCCTTTATTTTCCTTTAAAGGAGGATGGTTCAGGGATTGGAGAACTTGCCAAACTCTGCTGATAACTTATGCTTAAGCAACTGATCCAATCTCTTACAGGTCACGGCTTTTCATCTATGACATGTCGGAAGGTAGGTGTTGCCTTACCCGCCGGTGCTGGGCTCGTTCTTGTACAGGACGAAGCGGTAGACCAGCGTGGCCCCCACGGCCCCCGCCAGCAGGATGCCCACCACTACGCCAGCCACGATCCACCCCAACATCAACGGGGGCTTGGTGGGCTCCTTGATGGCTGGCGTCTGCGGAGTGGATGTTGTCGCCGTGGAAGGTGGATGCGTGGTCGGACCTGCAAAGAGAAAGCGGGCAGAATTGAGCCTCCCGTTATCAGAGTTGATACGAGGAGAAAGAGGACAACTCAACACAAAAGACCTCATTCTTCTCCTTGTTTTCCTCTCCTATAATTGCCATCCTTAAACCAGTGGTTCTCAACCTTCCTAATGCCGTGACCCCTTAATGCAGTTCCATATGTTGTGGTGACCCCCAACCATAATATTGTTTTTGTTGCTACTTGATACCTGTCATTTTACTACTTTATAAATCGTAATGTAAATATCCGATATGCAGGATGTATTTTCATTCACTGGACTAAATTGAGCACAAAAACCAAATATGCCCAAATCTGGATGCTAGTGGGGTTGGGGGAGGACTGATCTTGTAATTTGGGAGTTGCTGGGATTTATAGTTCACCTATAATTAAAGAGCATTCTAAACTCCACCAGCGATGGATTTAAACTGAACTTGGCACACAGAACTCCCATGACCAACAGAAAACACTGGAAGGGTTTGGTGGGCATTGACCTTGAGTTTGGGAGTTGTAGTTCACCTATATCCAGAGGAGTGCTGTGGATTCATGCAATGATGGATCTGGACCAAACTTGGCATGAATACTCAATGTGTCCAGATGTGAACACTGGTGGAGTCTGGGGGAAATAGACCTTGACATTTGTAGTTATTGGGATTTATAGTTCACCTACAATCAAAGAGCAATCTGAACTCGACCAACAATAGAATTGGGTCAAACTTCCCACACAGAATCCCAATGACCAACAGAAAATACTATGTTTTCTGATGGTCTTTGGCGACCCCTTTGACACCCCCTCACGACCCCCTCAGGGGTCCCGACCCCCAGGTTGAGAAACACTGCCTTAAACAATTATTCAATCAATTTTATATGCATTTACACAAACAAAAGCAGGAGCCCCCAGTGGAGCAATTGCAGGCCTGAAGACTGACAGGTTGGAGGTTCGAATCCAGGGACAGAGAGTCCCACTGCTGAACAGCTCTCAAAATTAGGAAGCTCCAGACTTTGCATTCTGATAGATGTTCAAAGCATAGTGTAGCGAATTTGTTGATCTATGTAAAATTTTTGATGTATAGCTCTATGTTGCAATGTGGCAGAATTGGCAGAAATAGGGTAGCAACAGTAGAGGCAAGATTAATTTGCATACGTGCAGCTGATTGGTCGTATGCAGATGAGTGTAGGCCAGGATTTGAAAGGGCCACTGAGCCAGAATGGCAGTTGGGGGGAAGAGAGCTGAACATTCCAAAGGGGCGGAGTTAAGTTTAAAAATAGGCAGTTAGAGAGTCAAAAAGTTTCAGTTAGGGATTCCTGTTTGTGAAGGACAGTTAGGAACTTCTGTGAGAGAAAATCAGTTAGGAAAATTGAGCTTAAGTTTTAAGGACAATAAAGAAGTGCCAGTGTGGTTTAAGGCAGAATATAGTGCTGTCAAGAGTGTATGAAAAAGTAACATATTTGTTGATGTGAAACAGTTGAAGTTTGATAAGAAAAGTTAACTAAGTGAATGATATTGAATGTAAAACTCAAAACTCTAACAGAACACACAAATGTCACCATAAGCGTTGGAGCCAGAAGCTATAAATAAACTTTGTTACTTCATTTACTACAAGAGTGTCTCAAGCCTGTAATATAAAAGCCTCAAGGTAAAAGCTCACAAGAAAGCCCCAGCCAATTTAAAAAGGGGGAAATACATCAATACAAGGCAGTAAAAAGATTTAAAAGAAAATATTTTTCCCCCACATCGTCACACATAAAAAGACACCTGAAAAAGGACTGAAGTAGTGAAATGTCATCGCACATAGCTTTGGAGAAACCCTAGCTGAGGAATCCTTTATGAGGGAGGGGGCCTTCTTGATGGTGACCCAATTCACCTATAAAACCCTACATGGCTTGGGTCCAGCCTATTTGCATGAGCGTCTCTTCCCTTACGAGCCTCCACGGGCCCTGAGATCCACCCGGAAAGCCCTCCTCTCAGTCCCACCACTGTCACAAGCGCCGTGCTGAAGAACAGTTACATGTAAGGTGTTTAACCCCGGATCTGGTATGTTTGGATAATATTATTGCAAGCCTAGAGTCTCAAGCTGCAGATGATTTAGTTTCCCTTCTTCCCTGGAGAACATGAAACTGCATTTGCTTACAAATCCAAGGGTCAAGAGGAGCCCAACTTACTGGCCAAGCGCAGCTCGAAGGTGCCTTTGAGGGTGACTTTGGGCCGGAGCAGGAGCAGGACGGTGTAAATCTTGGCGTCACTGGGCTGGAGGTGCGTGATGAGGAGGGACCCGTTGGGGAAGCCAAACTCCCGCTGTGTGCTTTGGACCCCATCGCGCTGCGGACGGACCGGGTTCGCAGGGAAGTAGGTGAAGATCCTGGTGGAGCCGTCGGTGGCCTGGCCCCGGTACCAGCTGACCTCCCGCAGGATGCCGGTCACGTTCTGCACCGAGAGGGTGACATTCTGGCCCTCAGAGAGTTCTTCTGGGATGGAGACCACGGAAACAGGATCAATGGTGCCCAGGATCGGGGCCACCCACGAACTCAAAAGGCAGGCTGTCGGAGGAAGGGGTCAGGAAGGGGTCGGAAAGGGGAAGCCAGAGCTCAAAGTGAATGACAGCAAAAACAAAGGGAAGTCCTACACTTAAACAACAGAAACGAAGTGCAGAGATCCACATTTTCTCAAGTCTAGTGCACCTTCGAATCTAATGCACACCTCAATTGCCAAGAAATGTATTTGTTGGCAAATGAAATGCACAGTGGCAAAAAATGCACTGTGTTGTCGAAGGCTTTCATGGCCAGAATCATGAGTTGCTGTGAGTTTTCTGTGCTGTATGGCCATGTTCCAGAAGCATGCTTTCCTGATGTTTTGTCCACATCTATGGTAGGCATCCTCAGAGGTTGAGGGGTCTTTGGAAACTAAGTAAGTGAGTGAGGTTTATATATCTGTGGAATAATGTCCCAACCCCCAGGTTGAGAAACACTGCTCTAGGGGGCTAGACCAAGACATTAATCCAAAGAATCAAACAATAACCTTGGCTAGGCTTGAGAGCCTAAAGGTTAACGCCCAGCCATTTGGCAAACATTGGTCATCTTAATCCAATCAGCTAGACATTTCTTCATTGTTTCCCTGTTGCCCGCCTCCCTTCCCCCTCATTGGCTGAGCGGTCAAAGCAGGACTCAGGCCGTCATTGGCTCAAAAACAGTCCCTGGGAAAGCTGGAAATGAGCAAACAGTGTGATGCCACAGAGAAAAAAAGCCAATGTGATTCTGCCTGGGTTGCATCTCGAGGAGTCTAGTGTCCAGATCGAGGAAAGTCCTAGTCCCATTTTCTTCTGCTTTGGTCAGGCTTCACCTGGAAAAATAATAAGGATATTTCCAGTTCTGGGCACCCAAAGTCAAGAAGGATGTTGAGCAACTGGAAGGTGTCCACGGAAGGGCCACCAAACTGGTCCGAGATCTGGAAACTATGCATCCCTACGAGGTTTAGAGAGGTGGGGATGTTTAGCTCTGAGAAGAGAAGGCTGAGAGAAAGGGATGAGAAACCTAGAATTGGAGACCCCTCAAGGATCGTCTTGGCTGTTTGTTTACACTGTAAATCTCAACCGGTTTCAGGCAGACTTTAAACTGTTTGTGGCTCCCAGCTAGGAAACTCAAGGAATTCACAACACAATTTGTCCCAACTTGTTCTACATTGCCGTTTTTTCAACCCGGACCTGACAATTGTGCTTTGTCCCAGGGTTGTTAGATAGCTTGCCAATTGCCATGTTTTGTTCTAGGTTGCCAACTTTCCAACCGGACTTTACTCCTGTGCCTTTAAATGACAGACCACAGCAAACAATTCGACAACTGCACTGATGGCTGCGCTGCCCTCCCAATTTCATAGAATCATAGAATCCTAGAGTTGGAAGAGACCTCCTGGGCCATCATCCAGTCCAACCCCACTCTGCCAAGAAGCAGGAAAATTGCATTCAAAGCACCCCTGACAGATGGCCATCCAGCCTCTGTTTAAAAGCTTCCAAAGAAGGAACCTCCACCACACTGCGGGGCAGAGAGTTCCACTGCTGAACGGCTCTCGCAGTCAGGAAGTTCTTCCTCATGTTCAGATGGGATCTCCTCTCTAGTAGTTTGAAGCCATTGCTCCATTGCGTCCTAGTCTCCAGAGAAGCAGAAAACAAGCTTGCTCCCTCCTCCTCCCTGTGGCTTCCTCT